TGGAGAGCTTCCAGAAAAATAAGATACAACCATTGTGTTCAGATGAGCAGGAGGGTGCTATTCTGAAAAGCAAGTTAATTTTTTTTCTATTTTTAGCTTATCAATTTAGACAGATAGGATTTCCTAATGATATACTGGAAACCCTGTAGGCTAGTGGTTGATTTTCCTCTCCTTATTTTCTGGGTATCACTGGTTAACGTTCTTGGGAAAATTGTACCTATTCTTAACCTTCTCATTTCCTGTTACATATAAATGAACCACAGTCCTGCCTGGCCCCATTCAATGGCTGATCTTACCCCAGTGCAAAGTCATCAAATCCAGAGGTAACTTTGGAATCCGTAGCTTGTTTGACTCCTAGAGACCCTGCACTGTAGATAACCCCATCTTCCTCTGGCCTCCATGGCTGCAGCCCTATGGATGGCACTTAGTAAGCACTCAATAAATATTTGTTAAATCAATGATGCAATAAATGCTATGTTATGTGCCCCCAAAAGTCAAAAAATAATGTGAAAGTAGAGTACATTGCATTGTTCTCATTAATCGAAAATGTGTAACAATTGCCAACTGCTGATAAGGATATTATGTATCTTGTAGATTTGTCCTCACTTCCTCATTTAAGTCCACCCTGAAGATCTATGCAAAGACTATTTCTTTTATGAAGCACCTGAGATTCCTCTATAACTTTATTTAGCATACTGACATAAATTCATTTGTAATTCTATTTCCTGGGTCCTGACTGGCACCTGATAGAATAGTTGCTTACTGTTCATCTCTCTACTGCCCCGGAAATACCCAAGACATAGAAACCCTGATTCCTTATTGCATTGCTCTCACGCAATGCCTGATAGATATTTGTTCCACAACTATTGGACTAAATTTCAAAGAATGATCTCTTAAAAATATGAGGTTGTAAAATGTATTTATAAATCATTTTGGCATATTAGTTCCATTACGCTGCATGCTTCAATAATTAATAGTGATAGTCATTTTTTCTACTTAATAGATTAAGTGTTTTATGGAAATGTTCAAAGCTATGAACTTGGTAAGTGTAGACTTTACTTACTTTTTAATAACATTTAAAAGTTTGATTTTAAACAAAAATTTGGTCTCATGTCTGATTTACTTATGCTCCCATGTTCAATATGGCAAGTTACATGACTAGCAATGGACGTGCTTTATGTGAATAATGTTTAAAATAATCTTCCATTCTGAATATTTTATTATTTTTCTGGACTTCACTAACTGTTTAAAACATATTATATTTTATATGGTTTTACTTTCCTTAGGGACTGAATCTTACTAGAAGTAAAAAGAAAGAAGCTTTAAAAAGATGCTTTTAAAGAGTTTTAAAGACTCAGCATTAGGGACTGAGGTTGGGAGCTGCGTACTCTCACTGATTGGCCTGGCCCTGAAAACATTAAGATGTGGCCTTAAAAATTGCCATAAAAAAATTTCATTGTCTTTTATGTGGCTCTTTTTCTCGTCTTTTTTTTTTTCCAATGACATTTACAGACAGTAAGATTCAATTTAAAAAAACTGGAAATACTACGTATTACTTCCTCTGTCTCCCCCAGGTACTAATTTAGATTGCACTTGACTCCTCTGAAATAATGAGAAGGAAATCTCTATACCACCAGAGTATCACCAGAGTATCACACACGTAGTGTTGAAGATCCCACACAGTCCCTGGGTGCTCTGTGTTTTGGCTAGTACATTAAAGGGAAAAGAAAAGGTCTGGACCCTGGGAGCTGTTGGTAAAGTGGACAAGGGAAGTGATAGTGGGATATTTAAGGTTCATGTAGGACTCTTGAAACTTGGGGGCGGCAGGCAGACTGTTGAGGGAAGATCAATGACATCTAAACTGCTTAAGTCCTTCTGCCAAATCTCAACCCTGCTCTTGCTGGTAGAGATCCTTCTCCCAAAAACAGTGAGAACTGAAGTAAGTCCACGGACAGTAGACTTTGGCTGAGGAAACAAATCAGATGTTTGTCCCCAAATGGGTCCTGTCTCGTAGGCAACAATGACATGAATGCCACTATCACAGGTAAGGTGGGCTAGTGACTAAGCACCAGCTTTGGGCACAAATGACAAACATTCAAATGCTGATTCTCCCACTCACCAGCGCTGATGCCACATCTGACTCACTGACCTTTCCTGAGTTTTCCTTCCTGAGTAACTGACTAGATACACTCATGCTGTGGGAATTAAATCCCACGCATGCGTGGAATTTCCCACCTACTTGCAACACACAGCCCAATACAGGTACTGAGGTTAATCTGAATGACAAAAACTATGATTTTTTTTCTTTTCCCCTTTGGAATGTGTCAGACCCACAGGTTCATCACCAAAGATTTGGTTATCTGTTCATTCTTTTCCCTTCCCCAACCCCTGAAAACTGTTTACTCTCAGGCCCCTCCCAAATAAATATGTTTTATATGTATATATATTTATATATATGTATAGATATATTTATTTTCTCCATTTAAGAAAGTTATCTTATTTGTCAGACAGTGGCTTACAATTTTTCTTCTTAAAATTTCCTTAAAAATGTAATGCCATAATTTATCTGAAGCCTTAGGACAGAAACCCAACTTTTCTTGATCAAGGATCAAGTCAGCACAATAAGCAGTTTACACTGAGTGTACCTTCCAGCCAACTTTAAAGTTCATCCATGTTTAAGATCACATTTTGTCCCCTAATGATGTATGCCAGCACACTGAGAAATGCCCACATTCTCCCTAAATTACTCCTTTCCTCCCTGAAATTGACTGTTCCCTGTTGAAGGTTGTGCAGAGTATCTGAACTACTATTTACTAGTGGCCAAACCCCAAAGCCACAGTCATTCCTGACCATACAACCCATCCGTGTGGCCACTCTCACCTACCATCATTGCCTCATCACCTTGGGAATCATGCCTCCTTGTCACTTCTTTGTTTAACTTTAGTTCTGTGGATTCTCTCTTCCTAGAACAAGGGAGAAGCCTTAGGGCTGCTCACTGGTTCTTTCTCTGGTTACGCCCCAGCTTCCCACTGTGGCCAAAACAATGTATTTATGTGGAAAATCTAATCTTGTCACTCTCTTATTTGAAAAACTCTAATAGTTCCCCCATTTTTTGGTAGTGAAATCATTGCAATCTGAATTATTCCCGTAGTGACTGAATAACTGTCAGTAAGGGAGCTCACTATTCCTTGTTTCTTACTGCCTCTGGCCTCACATTTTATGCCTCAATAACACCACGTAGATTTCAGTTCTGTAGGCAACTTCACTCTCTTTAACCCTTTGGTGTTTTTGCAAGCTGCAAGCTCTGCTTGGATTTTCCTTCCTAATTTCTTTTCATGGGTAACACTTGTTAATTTTTCAGTCTCAACTCAGGACAGTGCTTCCAAATCCCCAGAATGAGCTAATATCATTTCTTTGTTCTTCCATAGGGTACTGTATTTACTGGTATCGGACTGCTTAGCGCACTGCACTGACACGGTTCTTCAGCGAGCAGGGGCTTCCACAGTACTAACATTCTGAAGATACTGCATAATGGGCCTGTCTCCATCTCTACACTCCCCTAGGTAAGCATCACTTAGTTTTTGCTATCCAGATTCCCAGAATACTCAGGTTTCAAGTATGTCCTCTTCACCTTTTTCTTCAATTCCATAGGCCACCCAAGGCCCCACTCATAACTTTTCTTTTTTGAGCTACACTCTCACTGTGCCACCCTTACCAGAGTGCCATGGCATCACAGCTCAGCACCCTCAAACTCTTGAGCTTAAGGGATTCTCTTGCTTTAGCTTCCCAAGTAGCTATGAATACCGTGTCTCCTACAATGCCCAGCTATTTTTTGGTTGTAGTTGTCATTGTTGTTCGGCAGGCCCAGGCCAGGCTTGAACCCATCAGCTCTGGGGTATGTGGCCAGCGCCCTGGCCACTGAGCTAGAGGCGCCAAGCCATAATAACTTATCTTTTTGAAATAACAAAGTCAGAGTTACCTTCTATCACTTTCACTGTTCTACTTAGCCGTGCATTTCTTTTTTTAAATAATATACTTGCATAGTTTAATTATTGCTTGTATTTCATAGTTGTAGTCCCTAAAAGTCTTTTATTTTTAGGTGAATACCTGGATTATAGTAGGCATTCAATCATATCAGTGAGTGAGAGAATGAATGAATGAATACATGCTCTAAATGATCCACTTTTCTTTTAGAATTAAAAATACCAAATCTGAAGTACAGAAGTACAGAGCTAACATTTGCAAATATTGATCAAAATATAAAATTGATTATCTGGATGATTTTTCACTTTTTTTTTTTTTTTGGTCCCTCAAATCCCAGATTTGAAAATTTTTAACTTTCAGCTTTGTAATCAAATAGACTAACTTACTTTATAACTTGACATATTTTGCCCAGATCAGTTGCAGAGTCTGACACCTAGGTATGAGATGCTCACGGGAGCTTTCTCCAGCCAATCTGGACCAGAACTCAAGTAATAATTGGTACATGATAAAGACTGGATAGAGACTTTCACCACCTGATTCTCTTTTACATTCTCAGCTATTACCAGAAATTGATTCAATTTTCAATTGATTCAGTCACTCTTTAGGTGAGTTTTGTTTTGTTCCCTACACAATGGCTTATAAAATGTGACAGCCCCTTATAAAAATGATTAAAATCAAGTGACTTTCATCTATTTTTTGAGTAGTAAATGGTTTTGTTTCTTCTTTTCCAGAAAGGAAGAAATATTCATATGTAATTCCATAGTGGAATTCATCAAGTGTTGCCAAAAATAAAATCTATCTAGCCTGTACACAGAAATACGTCTCAAATGTGGAATCATATAGGGAGATGTAAATAATAGCCAAACTATAAGCATATGAAAAGATATGAATGTGAGAAGGGAATTGTGAGAGCAAATGAGAATAGTATTGTTCTGAAGGAACAAATTTCTCCTATAGATGTTTTATAAAAATATGTTGTTTATATATTCTTTTGAAACTAAGTCTCTTTGACTCACCTTCATATAACCAGTCAGCAATCCCATTAAAAATTATTCCTTCTTTTCCAGAAGATGTCAGTCGTAATGAACTGCTCTTGATATCAGGTTGATAGTAGATATTATTTTCAAAAATATAAATCTGGATCAGGATATGTGTGAAACAAACACATAAAAAATACAGCTTATTAGGTTGCCATTCAAAACATTAATATTACAGAAAGATTTCTGAATAATTAAGTTGGATTATATATTATATATGTTCTATTGTTTTTATTTCATGCCTATATTTGCAATTCTGTCAATTATTACTAAATAACTAAATATTCTGTTGCTGTTACTAAAAGCAGGACTGCTTCATCCCTTCTTGTACCAATAACAAGTTGTCATTTGGAAATTCCATGGCACTTGGTATTGGGACTTTTCAATCCCTATTTTTAACAACAAGATATCATGTAACTTCTTTCCATACAACAAAATTGGTTTGGTATTGGGATAACATTTTGCATACTCAAAAGATGGATAGTTATAACTACATGTTATTTTAGTAGTAGCCACGTGACTGAAAATCTTCAATTCCAGGTCTTTACATTTATAAAAATGCATTTGGAGATCAATAAAATAATCTTGAGAGAATCGAATTCTATCCAGCTCAACTTGAAAATTCACTGATGACAGCAGCAGTAATAACATTTCTTTGAACTAATAAGTGCAACGCAGCTTCCTATGCCCCAGTCATCCTGACAACTGTTTCTAAAATAATAATAGCATTGTACATGAATTCAAAGAAGAGTTTTAATTTGAACACATCACAGAGTCTTCCAAAACAGTATAAACAACAATAGCCCCAATAACAGAAACAACAGAACAAATTAAGCAATGTCTGTCCACATGAAAAGATGTGTCATTGGTATAGGTAATTCAGGATAAAATTATTTATAATTCTCTTTAAAATGTCTTTAATGCCAAACGTTTGAAACTGCTGACCCCTGTGGGTCTGAGGTTAGGGGAAGCAGCAGGACACTGTCTAGGGCAGGCTAACTGCTATCTCAACCACACATTCTACTGGGCAGGGAAAAGACGGCTGAGTGGCCACGTATCCTAGGGAGCAACACACAATGGCAAATAGAGCCAACACAAAAATTTCCAAAACAGTTGTCCGCATCATTATGAGGTCCTAGATTTAAAATCCTCATGGGCACAGTGATAAGAGCAATCTTAAGATCCAGAAAATTTCACTGATATTTGATTTTGGTTCTGGGAATTTAGCTTGTATTTATTGGTGGATACATTTCATTAACCTTTTCACTGCTACAGCAGGGTCCTTTTCATTGCAGGTCAGAATGCAAATTTATAGGGGAAAAAAACAAAGAAGGAAAGTAAAGAAAAGACAGCATAGCAGGGCGAGTAAAGGTGTGAGCTTTATAGCAAGGCAGACTAAACTTAATGTACTAGTGACCTTAATAATTTTCTTAATTTTTCTAAATCTCAGCTTTCTACTTCAAAAACTGTGCATAAGTCGCATACATGCCTTACAGATTATGGTGAAGAAAAAACTGAGATGATGAATGTAGATTGCATAAGGTATGTCGCTATTACTAAAAGCAGGACTGACTGCATACAGGATAACACGGTTCAAAATGCTAAGCTTTCTGGCAGGTACAAGTTCTAAGTGGAGTGCTACGATTACAGACATGAGCCACAGTACTCTGCAAAATGTGGTGTATGCCAGGGGTGCCCCAAAAATGTGTACATAAGGGATATTAACTATGTTACTTTTGGAAGGTAAATTGAACTCTAGTAGTAATGTGAAGTATGACGTTTACTCAAGAGATGACATTAATGAGATGAATGCAGCCTCTCCCGTGTACCAGGCAGGACAGTCGAAGACAATGGCAGATGCATGGCTGTCCCTAGAGTGTACGTCCCTTAAGAGGTATTTAAAATCTGAGAACACGGTGGAAATACAATGACAATTGGGGTGGAGTCTGCAGGGGAACCTCGTACACAATGGGGCATGCTTGTGAAGAGGCTTAGCAGCATGGTGCTGTGTGTGAAGAGACGGAAACGGCATTCGCTTGATATAAGTTGGCACTCTTCAGTCAGTAGTTTGCTATAATGAGAAGTGTCTGGACGCTCATAGCAACCACGTGAGCACCTCCTGTAATTACAGAAGTCAGATGTGACTTATGTTCCTCTTTTGTTATCAGCACATATTATTACAATATTAATATTCTTTTTGCTTTTCGTAAGATGTGTATACATTATTTGCACCCTCTACATGTTACCATAGAGTATTACTCAGTCATAAAAATAAATTAATTAATGTTTCTTGCAGCAATTTGGATGGAACTGGAGACCATTATCCTAATGAAATATCTCAAGAATGGGAAAGCAAACACCATGTACTGTCTAATAATTGGGAACTAACCCATGGGCACACAAAAAGGCAAAATCATTGGAAATCACAACGGGTTAAGAGAGAGGGAGGGAGGGGTAAGAACCCGCCTAACAGGTACAGTGAACACTATCTGAGTGATGGGCACACTAATCGCCTTAACTTAGGCGTTATTAAAGATATTCATGGAATAAAAACATTTGTACCCTTTCAATATTTTGAAATTAAAAAGTAAAAACTGAATAAAAACCTCTACAACTTCAGCTGATGTGAAAATCACTGCAAACTATCCGCAAGTAGTACCCACTGTGTTTGTTCACGGTGCATTAGGAGGAGCAGGAGGGCAGTAAGGGAGGGGCTGGTGGGAGGAGGAGGAAGAGGAGGTGAGGGAGGAGATGAAGGTGAGTTGCTAGCGAGTGATATCTGCGGCCGTCACTCCAGTCAGAAAGGCCAGACTCTGAAATAGGAAAAATAAGCTTATTACTGAAACTATGTGAATTACACTGGAGCAAAACTTTGAAAATTGCCTCTCATGTATCCTAACACCAGACAGAGTTGGGTATGATGACTTCTACAATCCCCGAGAACTGAGAAAAAAAAATATTAACTCTGTTCTAGCCAACTAAAGCATAAGCTGTACAGCGTTTGAATACTCCCTGCCTCTCCCACACCGTGTCTGACACAGGTGCACAAGGCATTCCTTACGCGGAGGGAAGCCCTGCTCCGCACCTCACCATTCTAATAGGACTTGGGAGTCCTAATGGCACAGGTTTTCCACACTTAGGCTACTTGAGCACATGTAGTTATTCACAGGCGTCTAAGTGCCTTCACCAAAGTAATGTGGTTCTAAATCCTCATGTTTCTGAAAGGAACAAAGTAGAAGTCAAAATAATTAATAAAACCTCCACGACTACAGCAGATGTATAAATTATCTACAACTATTGACCAGTAATTACATTTATATTTGAAGAACGGATTGGATGACATTCAGAATCCATATGAAACTGACATCTGCTTCCATGTAGAACAAGCAATATGAAATCAGAATTTTAATGCCATTCCACCAAAAGCCATAATACCAGGGAATGTTCATAAGATCCCCTCCGCCCAGTGGATAGAAAAACTTAGTGATTGCTTTTATGAAAATAGTCATTTATAATCTCCTAACCCAATGTCAATTATCAAGGTTTTTTCTTGCATTTTATTTGTTCTAAATAATAATCACAAACTTTAAGCACTACCTTGACAATTTGAGAGGTACAAATATTCCCAGGTACTCTCGGGGCACTCAGATGAAATGAAACTGAATCCATCAATGGGACTGAAAGTAGGTTTGCATCACATGGACAATATGACCAACATCAATGTTATTTATCCTAATGTTATTAATTACACCTCACAATATTTTCATACCAATCATCAATGCCTTCAATGAGCATAAAAAATAAAAATGGAGACCTAGGGTGGCCTGTGACTCAAAGGAGTAGGATGCCAGTCCCCTATGCCAGAGGTGGTGGGTTCAAACCCAGTGCCAGCCAAAATGGAGAGCTAATTGACCACTTCATTCTTCAATTCACAATTCACAGAGCCAGCTTACTATCCAGTTTTCTAAAATCAATCGTCTTCATGCACCTAGAAAATAATTGCAAATTTGTAAAGTCTCCACAATGGGAACAGAAGAACCATTGAAATATTATATACTCAAGGATTCTGAATTAAGAAACATGTAATAAATGTTGCAGGGAATTGTCCTTGCTGGGCAGGAGTCCTTACAAGCCAACTTTCAATCTGCTACCTTGTTCTTTCCCTACCACGACCACCAGTCCAGGCTCCGGATGCTGGATACCCCACAGCTGGACTGCTATGTGAGGAGATATTAAGGAGACGTCCTCTTCACCCTCAACTAACTTGTGATGAATAAATTGAAAGAAATGACCATTTGATATTAAAGGTCATTATGATTTCCAGGGTGAACATTCCACAGTGGAAACTGGACGAATGTGACTGGCGCAACCTGGGACAAACTTATAGCAGCAATGGCAGCCTTATCCAGTTTAATGGGAAAGACGTGCAAGATAAAATGAATGAAATCGAACATTGGACACATTTTAGCTGGAATATTATTGCAAATCTATTCCATGTTTACTTAGTTGAGTGATTTTCTTGACAATTTAAATTAGAAAACTATGAATTATTCAAAATCTCTACGTATGATAAAGGTGTCAGAGAATCGGTAAAGTTATAGCAATGTTGGGATAGCATCAGGGTTGCCTTGTCTTGTGGCTTGTGAAGGAGCTCAGGAAATTTCACCCCAAAATATGGCTAGTTGGTATAAGTATTTTGAACTAAAGACACTGAGGGGCCAACAAACCCTTGGAAGGGCTTTTGCTTCTACCTGTATAACCAGACGTATTCACCAAAAGAACAATGGACATCCCTCCCACTCTCTGCTATCTCAAAATATTGCACGACAGATAAGAAAGAATGAAACCAGACCTAGCTTATATTATTTTAAATACAATACCTATCTCTTGGGTTAACTTAATTTGAAAGAGAATCATTTATAAATTGATCTGTTTCCCCCATTAGTTTATTCACCCTAGCAACCACTTATTGCCCCTAAACAAAATTACCTGTATCCCTCCCCTCCCCCTACCCTCTAAAATGAGTGCATAAAAATATTTGGATCCCACTGGGCTACTGGGTGGTCACTTTGTGATTCTCCCCATGTGTGCAGTAAATAA